AATTTTTAACTGTTTTCCAATGTTTGAATTATTTTTGCATAGACTAAAATAGAAAGCAGTGAAAATCATTAATAGACAGTCGCGCGATGGTCTGAATTGCACAAAACGCATGATCGCACCGGCTAGTCTGGTGCGCGTTGTCATTTATTTCACCTCATCCCGTAGCTTGTTCGTAGCCTGGCTATTGAAGATGATACTTCATTTTATCTCTCCAAATGGAACTCTTCATTGTGCGCGTGTTTCTTAACGCTGCTGTTTAACACTTCGTTGTATGCTGCTGGTGCAGAATTTCAGGATTCCGAAAAATGCGTTTTCGAGGCTGGCCTCGCCGTCCGCTACCACTTCTGCTGCCGATGTACGGGCCTCCTCCAGGCGCGCCCATCGGGCCGATATTCGCTTGCAGACCGATGCCGTTTGATTTGGCTCTCTGTGAAGCAAGCTTTCCACGAAGCAAGGAGTTTGATGATAGTGATTTGGCGCAGGTACCAATTTTCATCTCTACAGCACGAGTAAGGGTGCAGCGGGAATCCATCATGTTGAGTGGGCTGTTGTCGGTGACATGATCCAGAAGAAGTTATTTAGTAGAGGAAGGTCGTATGTGTGCAGTTTTGTGGGTGCGCTACTGCGTTCGGAAGGTGTTCAAGCAGCCTTCAGTGCTTTTACTGAATTCCTCTTATCGTTTGGCCAGCGCATAAATCCTTTAACATATAAATGTGCATTAACATTTCCGACTTACTGATCTCTGCTGGTCGTATCAGCGCTGATTGGCTAATTCGAGCTCAGATTTGTGTTTTGATGCTTGGCCATCGTCATATTTGTTGGAAAGCAAAAACAGTATTGTTGCACAACGTTGCGCGCTGTCGAATGAAAAGAGGCATTCGATCTGAACTTCCCGGGTGAGCTGTAACTGCCCGTATGCCTGTTTCGCTGCATTATTCATGCTCCATCATATATCGTTTCTTCAGGCAATAACGAAGCGCCATCAGGAGATTACGCCAACACCAGTGGAGCAAACTGCAATACACGCATTGGTTTCGAAAATCAAAGCAGCAATAGAAAAAATTTCTGCCACCCCGCACATTTTACCTTCTGTGGTAAGTCGCAGAATGTTTTTATACGTTTTGCGCTATGTAACAGCAGCACAAAACGCATATTGTTACTGGTTTGTCTGTGTGTATGTTTGTGCGTATGTGTGTGTGAGTGTGTGTCCCATATTTTGTCTCGCACTTTCAACTCGGGAAACACAAAAGTTTGGTAACTGAAAATTTAAGGGAACGTTCCCCGCCCACATATAACCCCGCAAATTTAAATTCAGCCTTTCCGTACTCGCAGGTAATACGTAAGCCCCATAAAAGTTTTGACGGGTAAAATCATTATCTCGGGAATCACGCAAGCAGTGAGCTGAATTGTATAGGTATATCCGCTGACCACGTGCGACCCTGGAAATTTAGATTTCAACTTCCCTGAAAATTTAAATTTCAGTGCGCTTTGGTATCACTTACGGCCCCGTAAGAGTTTTAGCGGAAAAATTACAATCGGTTACAGTCGGCTTATCTGGAGAACCATGAATGCTAGGAAGCTGAAATTTAACAAGAATGTTTCCTTCCCACGTGCAACCCCGCCATAAGCTATTCCAAGGCGGACTCCTTGATGGAAGAGGGGGACAAGGGGTGGAGGGAGAGTGGGGTTCCTGGGGAGGGGGCGACAGAGGGTGGAGGAGAATAAGCCTCTGGTAGGGGACGACGGGGATTGGGGGGAGGGGGGCCCATTCCCACTCTGGGACTATGCAAAAACTGCGAATAGAGTTGTAACATTGCTACTTAGAGTTATCTTAGTTTTAT